TCAGCAAAACAACGGAAACAGCAAAACAAGCTACCCCACTTAGACTAAGTTTTCTGAAGGAAAACAAATTAAAAATTATTATTAAAATAATTAATTAATTAATTAAATTAATTAATTAAACAGAAATGAGCAATAATGTCCAAGAAAAAAATCAAATATCAATTATTGGTTAGGAAGAAAAAAGATGGGAGAAAGAGGGGCTACCAGAATGCTCTTTTTATTTTTATTTTTTGCTGCTTTACTATGTCTAAGTGTTTTTTCAAATCTTCAACATATGTATATGTATCTTTTTTTTTGCTTATATGTATTACTTAATGAAAAAATATGTTGAAAAACAAAAATATCATTAAATATTTACATTATATTCTTTTCAACAAAAAGTATTATAGAAAGGACCTAATATATTATTATAGAGGTAGTGTTATTAATTTCTTATTTAAATATATTGTTACATTTTAGTAAGAAACAATTATCTGTATTAATTCAATTTTTAGATTTTAATATTTTCAGAGGTTTAAACTCTTTTGAAGTTTATCATATGGGAGTTGATTTCTTGATCAAAAATGTGGTCAAAAGACTTCAGAAATAGAACAGCAAAAACATGGCTCTGAATATTCCATGGTCATGGATAACTGTAATGAATCATGGCTTCAATTTATTTTTGTGCCTGTGTGTGCACTAAGCACTTTTATCTATGTATCTTCAAATATACATCTTTAATTTAGTATATTTTTCTTTTTTTCAGCTTTTCCTCATTTTTATAATTTTTGTATTCTTTTTCTTAGTTTTTTGTATTTAATACCTATCTAACCATCCATCTACCATGACAGTTAACTGGCAGACTGCAGGTCACATTTGATTCAGCTACAGATCAACAAAGGTAACATTTAACCTGGTGCCTGATGGGAAGTGGCTGGGAAAAAATAAAAGGAGCGTGCAAGGTTGCTGTTGGAAGGCCCCTCCCCCATTCACACATCTTAATCTAACTTCACAATACCAAAATTAAAGAGAGTGATATAACATCAGTAAAAGTTTCTTTGCAGCTACAGTTTCAGTATACCGTTACTATCACCACAATTTTATTGGTACTACCACATATCTGTTGCTATCTATTTTGGGTTCTCATTATGGTGAGGGGAATATTTTGTTTACCAAACCCAAAATAATTCTGTAGAACTGTTGTTTGCCAAACCCAATATATTTCTATCAGCTATATATTTTTTTATTTTGGAATGCATAGAATATTAATAGAATAAAAACAAAAATGAAGTTGCTTTTCAGTATGTTTTCACAAACTATTGTTTATAATAAAATATTTGTCTTCAGATATGAGTTCTCAGTCATATAATATAGACATGTTGTGACCTTTGCTATGACAACAGCCAAAACAAACATATGGCAAGTAATGTAGAGTATGTCTCTGAATATGTATATGAACCACTGTAAAAAAATGTATTGCTTATAATGTAATGATTCTACATTAGTACGAACTAATACATGCAAACTAAGCTAAGCTAAAAAAAGGAAACAAGTTCTTTGGTCTAGTAGGATAATTTTTATGAGGAATGAAGACACATTAATTATTGACAAATGATGTAGAAAGAGTTATTATATTGGTAGTATTTTCCCTGCCTAAGAGATACAAACTCCAGTTACTAATGCATGAAGTTAAGGAAGAATAACTTAAAAAATCTTTTTGCTATATGGAATAGCATGAACAATTAAAGAAGTAGGAAAAAACAGTTTTACAGTTTTATCTTGGAAGTTTCAAATGACAAGGCAAATATTATCAAAACTCTAAACAAAGTAGCTGCAATTTGACACATGACCATACAAAATAGACAAGCTTTAGATTGAAAAATTATGAAACTAAAGATAGTACATGGAACTGATTTAATTGACTGGGTAGTTGGAAGAATGATTTCTATAATCATTTATGGAATTAATTTATTTAGCCAGCCCTTTTATATAGCTGCCCATTTTGCATAAAAGTGAGCCTGCGTAGCTTACAAGCAAAATAACAATTAAGACAATATCACAATATAAAAAACATCAGACCTAAGTAACAAAAATAAAAACATAAAGGGGAAAAAACCAAGATACTGGGAGGACAACCATCATTTAGCCTCATTCACTTTTAAGGCTCACTGTAGAATTCCCAGAGTTGATGGAGGAACCACATTTTTCAAGGCTTTTTCAGAAGGCTGACAGAGATGGAGCTAACCTTACCTTAGAAGGAATGCTGTTCTAGAGAGTAAGGGCTATAGCAGAAATGTCATGACATGGGTCCCATCAGATAGAAGTCCTTAAGAGAAAGGACCTAGATTATACCTCTTCTGCTGGATGCAATGGGAAGATGTAACTGGGAAGAGACAGTTCCCCAAATAACCTGGTCCCATGCCATACAGGGATTTAAAAGTCAAAAACAATACCCTGAGTGGCACCCACAAGCAAACTGGCAACCAATGCAGCTCACAGATGTAATGTGTGCCATCCTAGAGGCACATATAACTATCCATGCAGCCATATTTGCACCAGCTGAAGCTTCCAGATGCCCTTCAAGGGTAGCCCCACGTAGAACTCTGAAACCAAAGACCAGGGAACAATCACCAGAGATAAAGTTAACATAGCAAATCACATCTGACCAGCAATATGAGATCAACTAAAGGACAGCTGAGGTGACACGACAGAATGCTGCAGAACATGGCTGATAAAAGATAAAAGGAAAAATTGTACAAGTCTGCCAGAAGACTTTTTTCCAGCTCTCCTCTCTTCTTCAAACCCCATTCTCTACAGTGCAGTTTTGTATATGTTTGTAAGCATCTGTAATTAATAAAGTTTTTGTAGGTGAAACAGATTCTGCATGCTACGTTCCTTTTAAACATTTCATTTCATTTCATTTTTGAACCAAAATTCAAATTTATTGTTTTTATCAATGTTCCTCTCAGAGCATAAACAATTGATATGCTGATTACGTAGATGGCCCAGACTGTAGTTCTAATAGACTCCACCGATTATACAAAAAATATCCCATAACTATTTGCACAGCTACTGTAGCTGCACAGCTATGTATGCATCTGAGCAATGTTCAATGTAATTCCTAGAGGTTAAGCAGTCACATAGCTAATATTGATTATACAGTGGTGTCTGGTACTCGTTAATTGGTTCCAAGAGGTGTGATGAGTATTAAAAACGATGAATACCAAACAAACTACATGACTTACTATGTGGCCCTTTGTTTCAGCTGGGAAAGACTGTCTGTCTGTCCCTTTTCCTATGTCAGCAATCTTCCCAGCATGGCCAACTTCCTATCCGCCCTTAGAGACTGTCCCCTGCATCCTTTTGCAGCAACCTTTCTGGCATGGGTGATATCCTGTCTGCTCTCTATAGCCATCCCCCTCTTCCTATTGTAGTGCATCAAGTACCAAACAAACGACGAGTACCAGGACAACATTTTCATATTAAAATGCATCGAGTACCAAATTCAGCAAGTTTTGAAACAGTCAAGTACAAAGGTACCTAGCAGTCAAGTATCAGAGGTGCCTAGAGTCAGAATTTTAAGAAACCATTTATTTCACTTGGATTCATAATGTACAGTTATGAGCTGACTTTGAATCTTTGTATGGCTGGTGCAAGATGAAAGGCTTTCCTTTAAACAAATTTCCTCAATGTTTCTCCAGTCGTCTCAATTACAGCCTGTACCCCAGTACTTGCTATTTCCACTATTCTGAACAGAATTTGGTGGAGCAATACACTTCCTATACATATATCTTCTATAAATTTATCTAAGGAATTTCTCTGCAAAAACACCCACAATACAAAGATCACCTTTTTGGGCACCACACCTGGTTCTGATGAATCTCTTACATATCAGGTTTTCATTAAACATTTATCAGCACATTCCTGATAGGTGTTACTTCAAGTAGATGGCTGCTGGAATCATTGGTCACCTGGCATATATTTTCTTTTCATACACTTGAAGAATGTCAGCCAGAAATATTTTAAGCAGGCAGATTCTTGAACAGGTGGTTCCATCCTGTTAATTATACATTTCTTTTCCTACTCTGAACTGCTGGGGTACAAGTAGTCCTCAACTTATAATCATTTGTCTAGTGACCATTCAAAGTTACAATGGCACTGAAAAAGCGACTTACAATCAGTCCTTGCACTTACAACCTTTGCAGTATCTCCAATCATGTGATCAAAATTTAAGTACTTTGCAAACAGCATGTATTTATGAAGGTTGCAGCATCCTGGGGTCATGTGAGTACATTTGTGGCCTTCCCAACAGATTCTCCAAAGTCAACTGGAGAACTCAGATTTGCGTAACGACTGCATGAATCGCTTAAGAATTGCAGTGATTTCCTTAAAAATGTGGCAAAAAAAGGTTGTAAAATAAGGCACAACTCACATAACAGCCATCTTGATTAGCAATGGAAATTCTGGTCCCAATTGTGGTCCTAGATCAAAGACTATCTATATGTCCCACCACAGAATGCCCATCTTAGCCATTGGAAATTGGAATTACATGAAGGGTTTTTTCCCCTATGGTAGAGAAAGGGCATTCAATCCACCATAATCAACAGAGAAAAATGGAGAAGATAAAAGTTTGGCTTTGTTCATTTTTTACTGTTATTTCATACAAATAGGAAATCCAGGTGTGTTTGTTTTGTAGAATGTCTTCAAACGTAACTACACTAAAATTTAAATTTACCAAAAACTGATATAATGGACTCTGCATGTATGGAGTAAATTTCCAAAATGATGTATATCATTTAAACAATGGCATCATTGTACAAATGAGACCATCTACATTAAGTCATATGTATAATACCACTGTTGTAATATCATATGTTACTAATACACTGAAACAAATAATATGCAAATGACTGTGTAAAAAAAATCAAAAACTGCCATGACAAATTCTCAAATTTAACAATCGGGAATAGCAGAACTCCTTTCTCCACATCACATCAATTAGTATAAAGAGCTCTACTTACAGCATCCATGAAATTCGGCTTGAAACCATCTTGCTGTCTCCTCAGTTCCTCCTGTTCTCTCTGACGCAGCATCTCTTCTTCACGTCTCCTATGCTCTTCTTCATGCCTAGCCATTACATATAAAATATGATTTCCTAAAGTTCTTGCTGCATATTTTCATGCAAAAATACTTTCTTACAATGCCACACATCATGTTCAGCCTTAGTAGTTATTTTTCAGTTGTTTTTTTCACTATAGTCTGACATGTCCTACATCAGGAATAGACTTGTGATCTTTAGTATATATCTTAAAGATCCTATATAGTGTCTCCATTTCCTTGATGAGTTTCACAATAAGTGCAATAAAAAACTTATTCCAGTATTCTAGAATACTGTAAGTAGAATTATCACTATTTATTAATTTATCAATATTTCTATTTAATTTTAAGTCCATCTAACAGATTTGTGACTTCATATTAAAATGAATATAAAAAAGGTGTGGGTGTGTATAATTATCACTGCAATAATAAAAATTTATGAACTAAAAAATAAAAGGAAAACTAGGTGAAGGAAAGAAAAGATATAAAAGAAAAAATATAGCAAAGCAATATATAAACAAATTACTTCCTTCTTTATGACAAGCATAAAGGAACAATTTCAGTAACTTATCACCTTCTCTCTTTTTTTTTAATAAATATAGTTTATTAATTTTTACAATTAAAACCAGTCACAATACATACACAAATAAGCAAAAGAAAGAAAAAGAAAGAAGAGAGAAGAGGAAGAGAGGGAAAGAATTTTGAGAAAAGAAAGAAAAAGAAAGGGGGAAGAAAAAAAGAAAGAGGTTACAAGATAAAAAGTATTCTTATTTTAACAGTTTGCAAGATCTTCTTTTGTTTTCATAACTTTAACTTGTGTCATATAACCACACCTGTTTTTAATTTATATCGCTACCTCGTTATTATGGGTTGATACTTTTCTTTTATGCCTTATGATATATAATTTATCTTTGGTCAATCCAATTATACCAACAATTCACCTTCTCTTAAAATACAAGTTATCTCTTCTTCCAATATACCATCTCTTATGTAGAAACATATCCTTAAAGTCTCATAGTTTAACCCGCCTTTCTTACCCAAAAATTCAATAAGAAAGTTTTCATTGGTACCAAAGCATCAATTCATTTAGTAAATTGAAAATGGAGATATTATCCTCTGAAGTTTTTCATAGAAGAATTCAGAGGCAATGTTAAAACTGTTAAGTTTAAAAAATTACATGTTGAGCTGCAAAATCCAGTATTTAAAAATCTATGGAATACCTTAATTGTATCTGCTTTCTTTTCTGTAGCTCTTGGTTTCGAAGTTCTTCTAAACGTCTCAGTTCTTCCTGACGCCTCATAAGATCTGGAAAAAATTAAAACCATAGCAATTATTGTTCTGTCACAAATACAGGTAGTCCTCAAGTTACAACAGTTCATTTAACAAAGTTAAATGGCACTGAAAAAAGTGACTTATGACTGTTTTTCAGTTACAACCTTTGGAGCATCTCCATGATCATGTGATCAAAATTCAGATGCTTGGCAAGTGGGTTCATATTTATGAACATTGCTGTGTTTCAAGGTCATGTAATCACTTTTGCGACCTTCTGACAATAAAATAAATGGGGAAACCAGATTCACTAAACAAGGAGGTTATTAATTTATCAACTGCAGTGATTCACTTAAAAGCTGAGCAAAATTCTTTTAACAAATGTCTCAATTAACAACAGAAATTTGGGCTCAGTTGTGGCTGTAAGTGGAGAATTACCCATAGTGGTATACATGTCCTTACCAAAATAAGCATAAACATCAGAAAATAGCATAAATAACTTTAACTCTTCAAACAGGTATCAGTAAGAACAATTTAAAGAACTAGAAAGAATGGATTTTTAATTATAGAACATATAAATCTTAAGTTGAAGCCTAAGTTTTCGGACATATTTTCTGGGACCCAGAATGCTACACCAAGGTGCAGAAACTATTGAAAGCTAAACCAAATTCTACCTTTAAGTGAACCGCAATGTACCTGAACTTTCTCAGCCAAGAGACAAAAATGTGAAGACAGGTGTGTAAAGACTGTAATTGTTATCTCTAACATAGTAAATAGTCCATTTAAAACTGATGGGACAATTTTTTTAAAAAAAATAATAACCTCAAGGAGCAAGCAATTCTGATCAAAATCAACACTGCAGATGGAGAAATCTGAGTTGCTACTCCTTACAACTCAAATTATTTTATTTTTTTGCACAGCAACTACTTCATTAATTATACATCATACATTATTTCAAATGTTAATATCCAACTTTAAGTAATGTGACAGAATTAGAGTAATATCAAAAAATTGTTGCATCATCAACTAACAAGCAGTTTAATTACAGTCAAGTGTAGGAAATTCTGATTTTCCTTATTTGTTCAGTAAGTCAATTTTGTTTGCATCATACAAAAATCACAATATATTAAGAGCTCTGTGTTTAATACAGTTCCAGTGCTCTATCTTACTGGGTCAAATAACCGAATGAAGTAGGCTTTGCAGAAAGCTCACTTATAAATTCCTCTACAAAGAAAAACAAGTTATGATCAGGAAATTAGCAAAACCTCACACACCGAATGTGTTTGAGAAAGAGCTTGCCTGATTTAGGTCACCATCAAGGGTCAGATATTTGTATTTCAAATATACAGTCCATGGGTCACAAGTCCCTCGATACATAAATTATTTTGAATTGTATTGAAATGCATTAACACAAATAAACAGACTATTTCCAATATTCTTCAGATCACAAGATTACAGCAATAATTCATGAAGAATACCTTGTCTCATCAACATTAGCTGATGCTCATGTCGAGCTGCTTCCATTTCTGCTTCTAGCTTCTCCTTAGCTTCTCTAATGTTTCTATCAACTTGTTCCCGCTGTTGTTTTTCCATTTCATCAAGAGCTTTCCATCGTGAAGCATATTCAAATTCAAACGTTCCAGGTTGGGCAAAACGTGGGGGCTGTTCTCTTTCCCTAAGAGAAGACACATTTCACCTTAATGCTGTCATTTCATAACGCTGTCATTTCGTAAAAGCAAATTTGTCTGCAAATTTCCAATTCATTTCAAGGCTTTTTTATGGATTCTTAAATAATGGTTGCCTATAGCTAATTTAGTGCCAAAAAGCCTAAAGCTTGCCTACTTAAGTACAAAACAACAACAACACAAGACTGAGGTAATGTGTAAAATTTAAAGCAAAAGGTGGGAAGCAGCATGGACATTTTTTCTTCTGAGCTCTTCAAATAAGCCTGGAAATATAAAGGAAGATCAACCATTCCTGCTATCTGCTACATCAAAGAAATAATCCCCAATGGGCTCAACTGATACTATTTGTATGAAATACTGGCATGGCAGGGAAGGTTGCAGAAAATTTACTTTGCTGTGTGCTTTATTTTTGAGCAGCAGATTGCATAGAAAATGCTTTTCTTCTTGCTAATAACTTCCACATTCTGAAACTTGCTTATTTCTTTATTTTGCTTCTATCCTTTCCTTTCCCTATGAAATGGCAAGGTATCTCAGAAAATTAGTAACACAGAAAACAGATCTAAACTCTATTAGTTTCATTGCTTTTATGATACAAGTATAATTTTTCAATCATGATAAGCCTTTTTCTGTTTGCTATATAATATACAACCAACCCATTTTAAGTAATTTTAAACTCTAATTTTATCATTGTACACTTTGCAAGATTTGTTTTAATGATGATTTTGATTACGATGCTATTTCTTCATTACTTCTTTCATTTCTAAAATTCTGTTTTAGAAGTGGGTACTTACTTATGATACTGTTGTGTTTTTTGCATTAATTTCTCAGGCAAACCATCTTCACCATCAAACTGTTCCATAGGTTCAACAAGAACAGGTCTAGGAGTTCTTAAAACAAGTAACATATACAGTTAATGGGGAACACGTAAACTCTAGTTTCACACTACCAATCCAATATTCAAATAGCACAAGTGAACAAAGATCTGCATAGGGGAGATACTGGTAGTCCTCGAGTTACAACCACAATTCAGCCCAACATTTCCGTTGCTATGTTAAACATTTGTTAAGTGAATTTTGTCCCATTTTACAATCTGTTTTGCCACAGTTATTAAATAAATCATGGTAGCTGCTTAGTTAGTAACATGGTTGTTAAGTGAATCTGGCTTCCCCCTTTTCTTTGCTCATCAGAAGGTCACAAAAGGTGATCACAAGACCCAGGACACTGCAGCCATCAAATATAAGCCAGTTGCCACGTGTCCAAATTTTGATCATGGGGATGCTGCAATGATTCTAAGTGTGAAAAATGATCATAAGTCACTTTTTTCAGTGCTGTTGTAACTTTGAACGGTCACTAAATGAATTGTTGTAAGTTGATTTCTACCTGTAAAGAAGTAAAACAGCCAAGGCAGAATAAGATGAAAGGCCTTCATAACAAAGTGTCATAATTAATCATTTTGATTAATTTGGGGAGTACACAAGAGGAATTTTTGAAAATTGTGGCTGACTGAATAAAGAAAAATTGGGTCATGCATCCCCAGGTATTCCAAAAAAATATCTGAAGGTGGGAGCTGGTTAACCTATTTGAAACAAAAGACATCTGGAAGACGAGTCAGTTCTCCTGATTTCAAGAAAAGAAAAAAAATTATAGAACTTAAAAGAATTTGAAATAAATGGGAAAAGACTAAATAAAAAATTGAATCAAGAAAATTATAAATGAATTAAGGATCCAGCAAAGTTGGAATATTGAAACTTACTACAGGATTTTTGGAACTAACTTCATAAACTAAACAGATTTTGTAGGTATCAGGAATTATTTCATCTGCTGAATTGTGGTTGTAAGTCGAGAACTATCTCTACTATAATATTGTAACAGATAATCAGTTAGAAGGGACCTTGTAGATCATCTAGTCCAACCCACCGCCCAAGCGGGAGACCCTACACCATTTCTGACAAATGGCAGTCCAATCTCTTCTTGAAAGTCTCAAGTGATGCCGCTCCCACAACTTCCGAGGGCAAGATGTTCCATTGGTTGATTGTTCTCAGTCAGAAAGTTTCTCCTTATTGCCAGGTTGAATCTCTCCTTGATCAGTTCCCATCCATTATTCCTTGTCTGGCCTACAGGCTCTTTAGAAAATAGCTTGACCCCTTCCTCTCTATGGCAGCCCCTCAAATATTGGAAGACCGCTATTATGTCTCTCCTGGTCCTTCTCTTCATTAGACTAGCCAAGCCCAGTTCCCATTACTGTTCTTCATACTTTTTAGTCTCCAGTCCCCTAATCCTCCTGGTTGCTCTTTTCTGTACTTTTTTCTAGAGTCTCAACATCTTTTTTATAATGTGGTGTCCAAAACTGGATGCAGTACTCTAGGTGTGGCTTTATAGAGTGGTATTAGTACCTCCCTTGATCTTGATTGTATCCCTCTGTTAATACAACTTAGGATTGCATTAGCTTTTTTGGCTGCTGCTGCACACTGCTGGCTCATATTTAGCTGGTTATTCACTAAGACTCCAAGATCCCTTTCACAGTTACTGCTATTGAGCCTGTTTTCACCCAGTCTATATGTGTACTTTTGGTTTTTCTTGCCTAAGTATAGGACTTTACTTTTCTCTACACTGAATTTCACTTTGTTAGATATAGCCCAGTGTTCTACTCTGTCAAGATCCATCTGGATCTTAAGCCTATCTTCTTGGATGTTAGCTATTCCTGCCAGCTTAGTATCTATCATCTGCAAATTTGGTAAGTTCCCCTTCTATTCCCTCATCTAAGTCATTAATGAAGATATTGAAGAGTATTGGGCCTAAGACGGAACCTTGTGGAACCCCACTGCTTACTTCCCTCCATGTAGACTTAGATCCATTAAGGACTACTCGTTGAGTATGTTTTGTCAGCCAGTTGCAAGTCCACCTAGTGGTGGTGCTATCTATTCCACTTGTTTCTAACTTACCAAGAAGTAGGTTGTGGTCTACTTTGTCGAATGCCTTGCTGAAATCTAAATATATTATGTCCACAGTATTTCGCTGGTCTACTAATTTAGTCACTATGTTGAAGAATGAAATAAGATTCATTTGGCATGATCTGTTTTTAAGGGATCATGCTGACTGCTAGTCTGAACATATCAAATCTTTACACACCATGGAGAAAATGAACGTGTCCACTAAGAATCAACATCATGACAATACATAATTAGATATGCTAATGCTTTCAATGCCAAACAGGTCATCTTCAATTGTGGTTGGTTGAGAGGAACTATCAACTCACCCTGTGACCACAACCCATAAACCAAACAATTTTGTAAATTTGTCTCTTCTTCCATCTGGTTGATATCTGTAGTTATTTGTACTAAATTAGCTTTTCTTAGCTTTCTGAGTGATATTTCCCTTGCTGGTTGGCTTCAAGGATTTGGTCACCCTGCTAGGGACTCTTGGGCTTAAATATTTAGTTTTGAAATGGTAAGAGGAACCACTGAAGTGTTTTATAGTAAAACAGACTCAAAGTATTGAGGATGCTATCATTATTCCTTATAAACTTGTCAATATCTACAAGGGTGATCTCATGGATAACAAAATCTTACCATATTCTGGACCTTGATAATTTGTTCCTATGCCAGAAGATTTATTTCATCTATGTTGATTTCTAGGTGAAGGATCTGCCTTGAGGATTGCAGAGGTACATATTTTAAACATGTAAGATCACAATAAATGTAGTGAAGAGTAAACTTACGTTGTAAGCAAGAATGCGCCGTCACCACATCTTTCTAGAGCTTTACGCGCTGGAGGCTTTGCAGCAAATTCCACAAAACCTTTGCCTGTTGCTCTACCACGATCATCTACAACAACAACCGCTCTTTCCACAGGCCCAAACTGAGAGAAAGCTTGTTCCAAAAGCTCATTGGAAACAACTGGTGAAAGATTCTTAATTGTTAAAGCAGCTCCATGGGTGGCAAATCGAATTCGGAGTGGCCTGCTCTTTAAAATTGTTCCATCAAGTTCTGCCTTTGCTATTTCAGCCAGAGTCCTGGATTCCTTTTCAAAAAAATCACAAAATACATATGCAATTTTATTATGTGTAGGTATTACATATAATTAAGATTTTTAACATTACATGAATTTTAGTTATTCAGAACCTGTACAGGTGTTTCAATATTTTCATCTATTACCACTTCTAGCAACAAGACAAATGATCATTTTTGCAGATTAAAAACTGCAGTGGCTGGTGGGAATCTTGCCAATAGTTGCATAGACAATCTCCAGATTCTCTACCAATTGCAGCAGCTTGACTACAAAGGCTAAAATAAGGAATTCAAAAACATTTTCCTTCTTTAGACCAAATGTCTCATTACATTCACTGAAGGAGTCTAAAACAAGCAATTATGCTTGAACAGGCATTCTTCTCTTTCTCAGTGGTATTTAGCTTCTCAAGCCTCAAACCTACTGAATATGGTTGAGAAATAAACCCAAGCTAGAGTTTATTAGATCCCTGCCTATTAACTTTAAACTTTACTGGTAACAAACATTTACAGAAACTAATAAGGTTCTTTGAATCAACAGATATTCCTTCTCAACAGAAAACAGAGAATAAATATATTTTTTCCCTGGCTTAATAAACACCTATCAAATTATAGTTAAGAACAAGCTATGAGTCATAGCCATCAAAATGATTTCTACAATAGGCTGGCCAAAGTGGTAAGCCATAGACATTTGTGTTTTACCTTGAACGATGCCTTGGATAATTAAACTTAAAGCTGGTATTAATCACACTAGCATTCTATAACACAAAATGAGAATACAAAACAATTCTCACTGAAAAAAAATCAGTGTGCCCTCAAAAACTAGTCATCAACAAGGTTTTTCTTCAAATATATCTGCATAAAATGCATAAAATTGCATAAAAGCTGAGAAAATTATGAATTGAAATACACAAAACAATTGTGCATTGCAATAAGTTTCAACAACACAAAACAAAAATTAGCATGACCATAACCCAATTGGCCTGAAAGTCTATTTAAATAAGCCAGTTCCATTTTGAATTTAAATGGGTATAGGAAAACTATGGACCAATTTTCACCTATACCCCACTGCTCCAACTGCATTATCAGAAAAACTTCATTCATTGCATAACTTGGAAGGTGGCCTGTTCCTGAGTTTTACTAAGTTTCACTAAGATAACCCCTTCCACCATTCAGATCCAGGTATTTCAGTACATTCAAAAAGAAAATTTATTAATCACATTTATATGGCTACCCATCTCACAAGTTATAGATATTTAAAGTTAATAAAGATACTTTATTAAGCTACTAAGGTCAAACACTTCCATGAGGCTGTGTTAAGTAGTAACTAAAGGAACATTTCCAAAATAAACCATCCTAAACAGGAATTCTAAAGGAAGAGCAAAGTATTATAAATATAAACTAATGTCTTCTCAGAAAAGTATTAATCTTTTTAAAAAATTCAAAGTAGATGTGTTCAAGTGTTATGAGAACAAGCTCTATTGATAATGCTGTGCTTTACTTTAAATAAAGCAATAACATACCATGGTCTTTTAAAATAGATTCCTCCCCATAAATAGTTTAATATTTATCAATAGTTTAATATTTATCCCCATAAATAGTTTAATATTTATCAGTAGAAGCTAAAGATGTTTTGGAAAGTACTATGATAGTCACTGCACATCATCTTCCTGAAGGATACCAATACACAAACTGAAAGAGCGATATCCAGGAAATAACCATCCCCCCCCCCCCCCCCCAAAAAAAGGGAGAATTTCAGATATCAACTTTTTTTCTGCATATTCTTATTACTGGTTTGATCCACACCTCCCCAAAGATGAAGGGGAAAGCTCCTGGAGGTATTATGAAGGTAAAAACAATTTTATTATTTTGTAAGAAAATATACATGTAGTCCTCAAAGTACAGCCACAACTGAGCCCAAAATTTCTGTTGCTGTGAGACATTTGAGCTTTGCCCCATTTTATGACTTTTCTTGCCACAGTCGTTAAGTGAACCACTGCAGTTGTGAACAATCAAGGTTAAGTGAATCTGGCTTCCCCATGGAAAAGGGGATCACATGACCCAGGGGCATTGCGACCCCCATAAAAATATGAACTGCTTGCCACAAGCATCCGAATTTAGACCAGGGGGATGCTGCAACTGTCTTAAGTGTGAAAAAACAGTCATAAGTCACTTTTTTTAGTGCCGTTGTAACTTCGAACGGTCACTAAATGAAGCGCTGTAAGTTGAGGACTACCTGTACAATAAGCACGCCCCTCTCTGCAATACGTCGTCGAGACAAGCATAATTCGATTATTAAGACAGCAACGGCGACCAACACGTGGGAAAGAAACTGAAGGAAAGCGCAATCGAGCAGCAACACGAAGGCCCCTTTTTAAGGAACGGTCACGCGGCAATACTGAATTTCAGCAACGTTTTAACTTTCATTTTACTCCCGGGAAGAGTCCTTTAACGGGAACTCCGTTTAAACCGGGCAAATCTTGTAAACGTTTTTGATAGCGGCGCACGTGTTGTAAAATACTCGCGAGTTTCAACACCTCAGCAAAAGAAAGGAGCAGGGGGGGGGGGGGGGGGGGAGGGGGGGCCGGGGGGCGCCGGCGCCCCGGGGCGGGGGGGGGGGGGGGGGGCGCGGCGGGGGGGGGAAAAGTGCCCCCCCTCGAGGGAGGCCATGTTTCCTGAGGGACATGCGGTTATTTCATTTGGGGAGGGGGAGGTGAATCCCCTTCGTGCCCTCACGCAAGAATTGCGGGCGCAGCTTCTCACCAAGCGGATGAAGCCGAAGCCGCGGTCGCGGTTGATGAAGACCTCGCTGGGCTCCCCGTAGCGCTCAAAAAGGCGTTTAAAGTCCTCCTCGGTGATGTCGGTGGGAAGGTTCCCGACGAAGAGGCGGCACCTTTGCGTATAGCTCTTCTCGCCGGGCTTGAGGAAGCTCTTAATGTCGACCGTAAAGCCTCCGCCGATTCCCTCCTCTTCCTCCTTCACCATCGCCATCGCGGCGGCCAAAGCTTCGTTCTCGGACGGTTTCTCCAAACCCCTCAGCGCCTTCATCGGGCCGCCGCCCACCATACTTATCGGAGGTGCCGACGCCGGAGAATTGTTCTCGATCCTCACTTGCTTGAGGTTCCTGTTGGCGGACATAGCTCGAGTTTGCTAACCGTACGGATCGCAAGTAAGACGGAAAGGAGGGGAAAGAAAGCGCACGAAGAGCTCTCCGCTCAATCGCTGCTTCTTTCGATTGCTGTGGAGAAGAAGGGGATGGGGGAAAAGGAAGTCCAAAATGGCGGCAAGACCACGACCCACTGAAGATAAGTAACATCGCCCCGCCCCTCGCTTTCTTGGTGCGCATGTGCACAAGATTTGAAAGGCTACCGGGCATCATGTTCGAGTTAGAATCGGGGATGCGCCTGCGCAATGCGCTACCGTAGAGTGGCAGAAAGGCTCCGCCTGTTTAATTGTGGTATGCTTAACCACGAATTGCTGGAAAAATCACCATCAGCTGAGTTCACAAAACACTAATTCATAAACTACGGTTCCTAATGCACAGTAGATTAGTTTATACAAACATAATAGACCAGAATAAAGCAAAATATGTTAATGGGAACTTAGAAAATATGAGACCTTTCTATGATTGCACAAGGTACATCTGTTCATCCTGGCCATGTAAGAAACAATGGGCTTTTTAAGAGTATTAGATTTAGCTTAGCTGGACTTTTACTTTCAAGATTTCGTTATTTTTAATTCCAGGAGACAATGTGCTCAGATGTTACTTCCAGCTGTTTAATAAAAAAAATAAAGTCCTGTGGGCTGTTTTAAAAATTAATAATTGTTAATTATTTCTAAATATGGTCTAAGTGATAACTAACTTGGTGCTTTTGGCACCTTGCCCAAAGCGTGCATGTGTGCACATCCCCAAAATGCAATGCATGTGCATGCCCCCCATGTGTGTGTGATTCCTCCTATGCCCCCCACGCATGCGTGTGCAAACCTCCACAACCCCATGCATGCACAACTGCTGCACGTGTGCCCCACACACATATGCGCTAGTCTCCTACGCGTGCCCCACCTCATGTGCAGCAGAGACCCGAAGAGCAGCTGGCCAGCGGGAGGCGCGCGCACGTATGCGCAGCAGAGCTGAGCTGGGGCGATGGCTCATGTGCCCAGAGAGAGGGCTCTGCATGCCACCTCTGGCACACATGCCATAGGTTCGCCATCACGGGTCTAAGTAGTGCTTTTTCAAGAGGCAACTGGACTTCCTTGTTTTCTATGAAGACATTTCGCTTCTAAGAAGCTTCTTCCTCTCTGTCTGGATGGTCTAAGTATTTTATCAGCAGAAGCATCAGATGTGGGGAATTGTATTCCAGAGGAATGTGATGAATTATTAATTTATAATTTATTAGATGGTGGCTGTATGCTGTTCAGTCTGTCAAAAAGGGGGTCCCACTTTAGGCAATGCAGAACGTCCTCATTTTCGAAGTATTGCAATAATTGTCTATGGAGATTCTCAGTCATCCAGGTCATGGTTGTCCCAAAGGTGCTTTTTCAAGAGGCAATTGGACATATTATTTTGGGAAATATCTGACCTAAATTTTGTTGCCTTTGTATTTCCCACATTACAAAAATATTGCATATGTTCCTGACAGTGGTGGGATTCAATTCTTTTTACTACCAGTTCTGTGGCTTGGTAGGTGTGGCAGGGGGAAGGATACTGTAAAATCTCCAGTCAGAGGTGGTATTTGCTGGTTCTCCAAACTACTCAAAATTTCTGCTACCGGTTCTCCAGAACTGGTCAGAACCTGCTGAATATCACCTCTGGTTCCTGAGAATTGATTTATTCAGATTGAATAATTTTAAAAAAAAGGAAAATAGAGCAGTTTCTGCCCTCTAGTGGTCTTGTCATATTAAATATGAAGCATAGTTTCTTTGCTCCAAGTTTAGGATTTGTAACAGATGGAAGGTTCATATTGCTAACTATGTCAGTTTTATCTGAAATTTCAGTCAGATTTTCATTTTGAGAGGATTAACACTTTTTGCCATGTGTTACCTTTTATATTCTATCAATGGTAGCAGCTATGGCCTGGATAACTGTGAGTCTGAAAACTTTAAAATATACTTCAAATTAAATGATGTGCTAAAGTGTTTTGTTTTTTGACTGGAACTGGACACTTAAATGGATATAGATTGTCCTCAACTTGCAACAGTTCATTTAGTGACCACTCAGAATTACAGTTAGAAAAGTTAGAAAAAAGTGACTTATGACTGTTTTCATACGATGATAGCTGCAGCATCCTTGTGGTCAAAATTCAGATACCTGGCAATGAACTCATATTTATGACAGTTGCAGCGTCCTGGGGTCACATGATCCCCTTTTGCGACCTTCTGACACGCAAGTCAATGGAGAAGCCAACTTCATTTAACAACTGAGTTATTAACAACTGCAGTGGTTCACTTAACAACTGTGGCAAGCAAGGTCATAAAATGCAGCAAAACTACTTAACCCTCTCACTTAGCAACAGAAATTTTGTGCTCAATTGTGTTCGTAAGTCGAGGACTATGTGTCGTTCATTTTGTGAATTTTAATGATAGTCTTCTGAAACAGCAGATATAAAGAAAAAAGAATATAATTACAAATCAATGTAAATGTTCATTTATAAGAAACAAATGAACAAAGTATAGTAAATTCTTGTTATTTGCAACAGTTCTTTTAAATTGTTGCAAATACTGAACCACTGCAGAACTAGGTTTCTGTCAGCCTCTGGTCACATTTTCATCAACTGATCAGTACATAATTTTATTTTATGTGTCTTTCTGTTTAAAATATACTCTATATAATATGTGTGTGTGTTTCTTATAAATAAAGTCCTAAATTAATTCAACAAACATTAAGCAATTACAGTTTTATTTTAGAAAACCCTTACTTTTCATGGTCATTTTAACCAATGAGACCACTAAGAGAAGGCCGATGTATGCAGAATGGTGACTCACAATTTTCATTGCTAAACAGATGCCTATGAATCAATGGTGGGATTCATTTTTCTTACTACCATTTCTGTGGGCATGGCTTGGTGGGCGTAGCAGGGGGAAGGATACTGTAAAATCTCCAGTCAGAGGTGGTATTTGCCGGTTTTCCAAACTACTCAAAATTTCTGCTACCAATTCTCCAGAACTGGTCAGTACCTGCTGAATATCACCTCTGCTATGAATAACGGAAACGTATTGATTTGGGGATTACAAATAAATTATAACGAATAGGCAAATTCACAAATATAAATCCTATGACAATGATTGCCTTACAGATAGTCCTTGCTTAACAACTGGTTGCTTAATTCTTAATTACAACATGTTCCCCTTAGAATCATAGAGCTGGAAGGATTTCTAGTCCAATCCCCTGCTCAAAGGAGGAGACCTTATACCATTCTGGTCAAATGGTTGTCCAAAATGTCCAGTTCATTTTTGAAAGTTTTCAGTAATGGAGCACCCACAACTCCAGACCACAAAAAAGTTACTTAAAACCTATCCTTGAAGTTACAATGCCATGCCTCCCCACGGCCATATGGTCACACATTCTGAGCACTTGGCAACACCTCACATTTGCAATTGGTTCCATGTCACTTGCAAATTGCTATTTTTTCCGGGTTTCCAGAAAAAGTGATTTGTTTAATGATTGTGGTGAATCACATTATGACCATCATAAAAACTGTTGTAAAGTCAAGTCATGTGGTGACCTGCATAACAATCGACAATGATGATCAAAATTCCAGAATCAATTTTGATTCTGGAATAATTATTGTTCACTGAGGACTATTTGCTTGGCGATTTTAAACTATACATCTTAGAGGATGATACAAATAATTAGTAGTTTCTATTCATAAGTATATACTCTAAAAGACAAAGAAGGGTCAAAGAAACCCATGCTGAAATAGTGGTTCAATTGCCATGAAGACAAAAACATACTCTTCCTTATAGGTTTACGTATCTATTTCTAGGCTGCCATTTTTTCTTATCTTTCCTATTTTCCTTTGGTTCTCAAACTAATTAAATATACTCAAAATGATTCAATGAGCATATCTATGTAGTTTCCTTGGCAACCATACAGAAGTGGTTTGCCTTCTAGCATGTTTTTATAACTTTTATGTGTAGCCTACAATTCTTGGATTTTGGGGTGATCATCAGGGACTAAAATCTGCTTTTCTCCAAGGTTAACTGGCAGTGGGCATATGGTATGATCAAGGTTTAATCTGCAGTTTCTTCCTCCCCTGCTGCCTAGATACTTCCACAGAACACCTTTCATGACAGCTAGAAGAGGATCCTTTATGTGAAACTGGATAGTAGCAAATTATGTTTCTTCTCCCCAGAGGGCAAGGAGTTCTTTTCAGAGGGCTCTGAAATGGCACTTAATTGAGAGAAAGGATCATTCACCTCATGTTTAAAAAACAAACATGAAAACCAATGTTGCTGTGAAAAGTTGGCTCAAAGATTTCCTTATTTCTGCAACCCTCACAAATCCAATCTGTGTCTATTTTTAATCTTAAAAAAATCATCATTATTAAACTAGAATTTTAAAAGGTGTGATTAGCTCCTAGAACGCAGGAAAATAACCAAAGAAGAAGACATTCACCTGATAGATTATGACATAATCCAATCACAAAATAAATCGAGCATTGTCAATCCACATGCATTTTGCATAATAGTTCCAGAGAGAGCAGACCTTATTCTATCAAAAATGTTAAAATATATTTCTGGATATAAAGTATATTTAATTAAAAGTAATAATGATTAAAGTGAGCAATTCAATCACTAGCCATCTTAACTGTCATTTAGAAATAGGCTTATTTGCTATGTGATTTTGTCAAAATAATTTGATCATACATTCCATGATTTCACAATATTATTAGTGTATTTTATTAACTGTTTATAGTCCATTTTTAGCTGGAAAAAATAGCTGCGTATAAAAGACTCTTTCAGGTTTACAGGTTTACAACTTAAGAGATGACACAAAATGAAAAAAACAGACAGGGAAAAAAAGAAAATCAAGAAAAATCAGAAAGTAAGAATATAATTAAGGTATGTTGCCAGGATTAGTGTTCTATAACAGTCCTTTTTATTCACCTATTCCTTCTGGCAACTCAGAGTCATATCTAATCCAATCTTAAAATTCCTTTCCCCTATTTAATTAACCACCTCATCCATACCTGTAACAGCTCTCAGTGGTGCACTAAGGAAAATCTCCCCCAAATAGAATAGGATACAGGTAATCCTCAACTTACAACCAGTCACAGAGTGATGAGAATCACTGGAACCCACCCCACCAACATACT